ACAAGCAATATGCCTCTTCCAGACCCTGCCAATTGTCCCTGCCGACAAGCGTTTCCACATTGTGCGGACATTGTTGATGGCCATGTAGCTACATTGGACTACACTGTTATACAAGATACACACTTGCGGGCTCTCTTCTTTGAAGGCTCCAAGTACCGCCTCAATGCCAACACCACAGATGTGATGAAAGCATTGAAACTCGGCCTGGATGAGTATATTGCCAAGTTCATAGCAGCCATGAGATCAGCACGCAACAATGAGTCTCTAATTGTCGACAGTCTCTCTCAGCTGCGCAGATGGCGCACGACAATTCTTTCAAGATGCCAACGGAATCTATCTACGTCATAGTACCAAGCACCCACTCAAGCTGCCTCGCGTGCTGCTAATACATCTTTACGGCAGCTACAACAACAATTTGCTATAGTGCCTGTTGATAAAACATCGCACAACATGGCAATTTGCTGCAAGCGCTGATACGGGTATAAGTTATCACAACACCTTGATAGTCCTACCTACGATTCGACATCGGAATCTGTGGCCGGCATCCTTGACCACCATGCGCTTTTCAATCAGCGTTGGGGCTATCGACATACTGACACCCTGCCCTATCTCTACTTTGCAGTTAAAGCACATAAATCCCCGCTTGGTCTTCGCCCAATTCTCGGTGTTACTCAACAAAACAACCTTTCTCAGTCTTCACTTCGCACAATACCTCGCCAGTCTTCGGTCTCCAATTTGCATAACAGACCCCCTCATAAGTCTCTTGCCAGTACAAAAATGGCCTCCCGCTCACTTAGCTATGCTCTCCAAGGCGTGATCAAGTCTCTGCGCAGTAAGGACAATGAGCTTTATCAAGAAGTAGGTGTACGACGCTGTTGGATTGTACAGAGTGGTGAGGAAGTCATCTTAGATCTCAAGCAAAATGCACCATCCCTTCGAGGCTGTACGCCCCWTACGGTAGATTTCACAACCATGTACAATAACCTGCCACATRWTAGGATTCTTAACAATGTCCTAAATGYGGTTCGTGAAGCACATGATTAYGCCTTGTTGCGTATCCCGCAGGGAAGAAGGTCAGTACAAATGTACATGACTGTAGGAGGTCCTCATCGCGGGGAGTGGGTTACTTCACATGGATCAGACACCCTTTCCGTGTCAGAGATAGAACARCATCTGCGGTTYGTGGTGTCGAACACTTATCTCTACACAAGGGATCGCACTCTGCATCATCAGGTGGTAGGCATCCCTATGGGCACTAACGCTGGACCGGAAATTGCCAACATTACGCTTTATTGGGACGAAGCACAGTTCATCGATGAATTACGACAACAGGATTTACGCGTTGTGCAAGCACATGCATTTACGTACCGATTCATTGATGACATCTTATCCTAGAAGACATTACCGCCCCCTCCTGCTCGATATGGTCTTGAGTGGAAGGACACTACTGAGCAAGATGGGTCGTGTGTTTTCCTTGGGGCAAGRATCCTTGTTCGGYCGGATGACTCACTTCGCATCGGCGTCTTTGATAAGGCTGAGGCCTGGAYATTCCCTGTCATACGCTACCCCAGCGCTTCCTCTAATGCCCCAGGTCATCAGCCTCTAAGTGTGCTCACAGGGCAGCTGACACGATTTGAACACATCTGCAACAATACTGCCGACTTAAAGGCTGCAGTGACTTCCCTCACACCACGAATGCTCATTAGAGGCAATCCCCCCAGTGTCCTGGCCAAAGGTTGGAATGCATACGTGCGCGGCCGGCAGCGCCGGTTACCCACTCATGTTACACGACTTTCAAACTGGTTTCGGCGCATGGTACGCCGGGCAATTGCCCACCCACTCCCGAATGCAAATTTTGTTCGCAGGTCTTTTGCACAACCGCACGCAATAGGAAACATCCCGCAGCCTGACCAACATCAGCCCTCCACAACTGAAATTCCAAATGCTAATGAGAATGCGCCAACCCGACAGGAGACCGGACCAATCGCAACAAATTTGGCCGAAGTGGCTGCAAGGGAGGAGGGCCATCATCCTACGAATACGGTGGCAGTTCCAACGCTGCCATCGCCGCCATTACCACCTCTGCCACCACCACCGCCATCATCATCACCACGACTGCCCCCTGCCCTATCACCACCACTCTCCCCACCACCTTCAACACCACTATCGCAGTCGCCGTCGCTTCCAGCATCATCGTCATCAACCTCAACATCATCATCACCATCATTACATTTATGGTTGGATCAGCTACGACAAAGGACCAGTCGGCGGACGCGTACGACATTGGACCAACCATTGCAGATGCCTCTTCGGCGGGTCCATTCTCCGTCTCCACCTCCGTCCCCAAGACAGCGGCCTCGTCTAGCTGTGAACGGCTTGATCACCGCGCCTCCAACGGCTACTAGAGATTTGCTCCGCTGACATGCTCGCAACCGTTCGGAACGACAGCGTCGCCTTCGATACACAGTAGCCAGGAATAGTACACGCCGAGTTTGATGCCCGCAATGTGGGGATGATTTMTTCAGTGTTGCAGGCCTCCGTGTGCACCAAACACGAGGTGCAGCTACTTGTGCAGCATTTGCACGACTGGCAGCCGCTCTGAGCACAAGTGCAGCTGATCAGCTTCCGTTTTCCGCATCTGACCCACCCAGTTCTCACCCCCCTGACCCGCCCCTTTCTCATCCAACTAGCCCCGTTTCTTCCCCTGCCCCAAATGACATTGACCCGTCTTCTGGCTACCTGATGGAGCCCCGGATTGAAGATCGTCTCTCTCTGGAGCGCATACTAGAGCCAATTGGTCAAGACCGCAATGAGTCTCCTCCACCTGTGCAATCTGCAGAATCGAACGAATCTCCTCCTGCTGTGAACGAATCTCCAGCACAACCCGYGGAATCCAACGATGTCATAGCGCTACAGCGAGGCCGCTGTGCGTACTRTGCCATCAATGCWTGTCTCCTTGCCTACAATTGTAACCCTTATTCGGTTGCTGATTTCGCAGACGTTGTCCGCTGGATAGAAGAAGAGCACCGTGCCGTATGCCCAGAGGGCGACAGTGCTGCACCTGGTGTGAACATAGAAGTCCTGGCTATGACATTTATGGGTAGGCGACTACAATTCCAGCCTGCCCCTCAAAACCACGTGCCA